GCTAAGCACCCAATGCATTTTTCCAGTCTCAAATTCTTCCTTTTGGGGGAAGGTGCTGAAGAGGGTTGTTGCTGGAACAACAGCAGGCAATCCTGGATGATGATTTGGATCCATGCCAGTGTGGGTTTGGACCGAATCCGTATCATCCCCCTGATGGGTGGTCTGTATACAGAGAAGGACGGGGGAGTGCAACCTTGCTCCTTCCACTTGATTTCTCAGTGGCTTTTATACTGTTGAGCATGGCATCCTTCTGGACTGACTTTGTGGGATGGTCAATCACTTAACTCACTTGCATCTGTATTAACACATGGAAATTGGCCACATACTTTCAAATATCTGGCTTCTCAATGGCTGTGAATTACATGGGGGATGCTATAAGAATGCTAGCATTCCCCCCCTCAATGAACTCTTAACATTCTTTTGACCCATTTGCTAAATAGCCACATTAGAATACCTGTCCTAGCTGATAAGCTTGGATGCGCATGATGCAATCTGTTTCATGCAGAGTTACCGTTTTGTATCTGTCTTGGCAGCAGCTTTTAACTGACCTCCCTGTATTGAACAAAGATCTAGTAGCATTTTTTTCCCTTGGCAACTTCTCTGCTTACCGTGTGTGGAAAATAATGAAGTGAGTGGATTTAATATCTGTAAATGAAATAAATGTATGTGTTTAATGACTCCAGGCAAAACAGAAGAGCTAGGACCATCATTGTAGATGCCCATTTCCGGGGGGGGGGGATGTTAGTGAATGTAAAATTAAGGCATTACTGGGATGAATTTGTAGGAAAACTCATCAGCATGCACACGTCGTTTTTTGTCCCTTTCCCCCTCAGTGATATGAGAAGCAGTCATTTAGCTGCTGCTAATCCCCATGACTCGTTTATCTGAAGAAGACCCTTTATCTTGTCATTACCTGAGGTGCGTGAAATGAGCTGATCATCCCAAGTCCTGGCAGACCTAGAGGCAAAATTAGGCACCGTATCCATGGTAATGCAGTGAGCGGTTTTTAAAGTAGCCATTTAATCCATTGATATAAAATCGACCCACCAGTGGACTCAGAGCAGCCTGTTTTTTATTATCGGACAGATTGTAATTTAAAATTGATATGACATGTTGTGTAGACATGATACTGTTTAAAAGGAGGAAGACATTTTATTTTGTGAGAATTTTGCTTGCAGAAGTAACAGGTATGAGTTGGATGCTGCCTCAAGATTACTTGGATGCAGAATTTAATTTCTGCATCTGCTGTTGTCATCTCTGGTAATATCCTGTGCTTCATTGTGGGAACTTTTACGAGACCAGTGTCTCTTGACAAAACAAACATCAGAGGGAATCTTTAGCAGAATGAATGCATTGGAAAAGGAAGCTTCTGGTTTGAATGCCATAACTGGTATACTGGTTGGGTTAGTGGAGACAGGAATTCTAGCTGTTGCCCTGCAGATGGGGCCTACCAGCAAGGAAACTCAAGTTGGTGATGGTTTCGAGGTACAGCAAAGATGGGGATAGGTCTGAACTCTCTATGTCCCTGTCAGATTCAGTGGCTAATCAGTTAAATGACATCGATCAAGATTGGTGCTTTAGATACCTGTTTTCACACCAGTATGAACACTCAGGAAATGAACTTGGAGAAGTCATTTTTCATTCTTGACCTAACCCCTTCAGATACAAGGCTACTGATAGTGGATGAATATGCTGATAACACACTTGCTACTTTCCAAGGAAATTATCTCAGGGAAAGGGAATTGCATTCTGGAAAAAGCAACTTGAGAGGAAAGAGTAGGAAGTTCTCAAGCCGCAGGACTCCTACCTTTGTAACTTATCCCAATAATATCCACATATGCTCCAACAGACAATAAGGGAAGATTTGTTATATTGGCCTGAATGCAGGGATTGGAAGAAATAGGCCCAGATTAGAGGTCCCAAAGGCCTACCCTGCTTGGAAGCTATTTTCTGATTCTGGGCCAGAGGAGCAAATAAAGCAGTTGCAGACCTCAGAACACACCAAGGTGGCTGTACAAGGTACAGTGTACAGAATGATTTCCTGCCACTCCTCAGAGGAGGAAGAAACTTGTGGTTGTGGTAGGTGACTCCCTGCATAGTGTGTGGTAGCAGTGTGTGGACAAAACAGGATGTTCCAGGAAGTGTGCTGTCTTTCAGCTGCAAAGATTCACTGACCACAACCCCTTCCTTCTGATTTATGTGGGTACAAATGGTACTGCCAGACACAGCCTTAGGCATATATAGTGATGTAAGGTGAGAATATTCTCCGGAGAATATTCTCCACAAACTGTAAATTCTAATGTAAGAACCAGTTTTACAACCCGCATTAAAAAAATCTAGTACAGTTATACCTCGGGTTGCGAACGCTGTGGGTTGCGCATTTTGGGGTTGTGAACCACGCTGAACCCAGAAGTACCAAAACGGTACTTCCGGGTTTTGGTGCTTGTGCATGCGCAGCAGCGCAAAATGACATGACACACATGCACAGAAGCGCCAAATTGCGTCATGCGTGTGCGCAGACGCGGTGCTGTGGGTTGCGAACATGCCTCCTGCACGGATCATGTTCTCAATCTGAGGTATGACTGTAAATAATAAGTCAAGCTGTGATATTGCCAGTGTAAGTAATGTGTCACTCACCACTGGCAGTTCTGAAATGTGAGCTACAGAAAACTGTTTTTTTAAAAAATGCTATTCATTTAATTTGATGAACATTTGAATTTATATGTATTTCAACCATATGTAATAGCCTTTTTTCTATTTTGGTGTGTCCTTATTCTTAGTAGTTCTATACCCTTGGCCATACAGTATGATTTTTTTAATTTATTTTTTTTACAGAAAGTAGCTTTAGTGCTTTATAAACTTAAAGTACCTAGGCCTATACAATTATGTGTAAGAGCATGTGTGGTGGCCTTGATTTAAACAGTTGATGTTTCTATATTTTTATTTAGTGCCAGTAACTAGTTTTTGCAGTGCCATTCAGTTGTACAAGGTGCCGTTTACGAGAGGCTGACATCCTGAAATATATTATCATATAATTATATATTTAATGTTAGTGGCTTCTTTTTTATATATATGCATATAGTTTTGTTTATCAAGCTGTGTTTTAAGTGTTAGAGCTATTAGTTAGTTATTAAGTGTTAGAGCTATTAAAAGCACAAGATAGCCTATTACTGAATTTACTTGTATCAAACCTTAACATGCCAATTGTATTTTTTGACTTGTCTTGTAACATGTACATTTTCTAATGGAAGAATAAAATATGATTTAACTATTGAGTTTCCTTATACCAAACCTTAACATGACCATTACTGGTGCCATCACCTTAGAATGGTTTCACTTTAACTATAAAACATGTTTTACTTTTTAATTTGATACTTGCAAGTGACAAGTAGGCTTGTTCTTATATATTTTCACTGTGGTTCCTTACTAAACAACAAATTTCCTTATATGTCAACAGTGCTGACCTGCTGACCAATAAGAAAGAGTTTTCTGTACAGTTTTTAATTGCCATCTGAACAAGTTTACCCATGAATAAACATGTATATTAACTAATTATACCATTTTCAACGCATTAAAATTAATATTCTATTTTAAATGAAAATTCTCTAATATTCTCATTAATTGAGAATATTCTCCAAAAGATTATTCTTGAGAATTTAACATCACTAGGGACCATGATACTCTGGGCAGGAAGCAGACAGGCCTCGGGGTACAGGTGGTTTTTTCATCACTCCTTCCTGTTGAAGGTCAGAGCCCAGGAAGAGAAAGAAAGGGTTTGGCTTTTCGAACTACTGTCTCTGCTTCCTTGAGGAAGACCTTCGGGCAAGAGATGGGCTGCACCTCATAGCAGTTAGCAAGAATGTGTTTGCTAAGAGTCTCATGAACTTGATCAAGAGAGCTTTAAACTAAATGCTATGGGGGAAGGAGACAATATTATAGATGACAGAGGAACATCTCGTGTTGGAGAATAATAGCTTCATTGATGCATAGGAAAGTGAGCTGGTGTCCCAGAAACCTGCTAAAGGGCTGGAAACTACATGAACGGAGCAGCTGGAGGGAATACTCATGGTTTCAGTTGCCTCTAAACCAATGCACAGAGTGTGGGAAAACAAGCAAGATGAATTGTAGCCCTTAATACAGGATGGCAAATATGATAATCACATAAGAAAACCCTGCTGTATCAGATTTATCCAGTCCAGCATTATGTTCTCACAGTAACCAACCAGATGCCCCTGCAAGGCCATAATGCAGAATAAGCACAACAGCGCTCCCTGTTACTGGAGATAGTACCCAGCTCTCAAGACTAGTTGTCTTCAGTAACCCCTTTCTCCATGAATGTGTCTAATCTCCTTTTAAATTCTACCGATGTTAGTGGCTGTTTAAACGGAGGACTGGAGAACCTTCCTTTGTCCAAATTAAGGGCCCAAGGTGCATAGTTACACTTCTGCAAAGCCAATAATGACAGTAAAGTTATTGTAAAACACATCATTTAACAATTCCAGATTCACACTGCTCTACAAGCTCTCTAAATTATAGCTCCCTCTGCTCTGAGGAAGTTCCACAAATGTGATGCTGGCACAGAAGATACCTTGCTCTTCATCTATTTATGGCGGACAAAAAGAAAGCAAAACCTTCTGTGAAAATTTTAATGGGGTGCAGACATTCCTATGGGAATGGCAGTAAATTCTTTGCTGTTCCATCCAATGCCATACACTCAAGGGACTGAGTGCATCTTGTGACTCTTAATAGAAATAGGGGAAACACGATTTAATTGTGTTAGATTTTAGACTTATTCATGCTGCTTTTTAAACTGTGAAAAAGTATTAAAGTTTATGGCTTAAACAGGCAGGGAGTTTTTATTGAAGTTGCCAAAGTTTCATAATTTATTTTACCCAGTGCTATTGATAAAGCAGGAACCCCACCTAGCACTGAGTACTTAATCTACAAAGGATAGCTGATTTAATTTCTAATGGTCTGCTTTTCTCCTCCTTGTTTTTTAGGATAAGAAAGATAAAGTTTCCCGGTTTGATACCATTCGGCACTCCATTGCTGGAATGATAAGATCTCCAAAGTCTATGTTGGGCTCTTCATCGGTAAGTCCACAGGTACTGTATTCTCACATTCTTTTTTCCTTAGGAAAATAACTTATTTACACTATGTGCATAACATTCTGGTAGTTGCTGTAAGAATATTAACATGTAAAGTGGTTGGTTGTCTAGCTGGTAGTAGCATTGAAGAAAAAGGTACAGCTGTATAAGTCAAAACAATGTCAATTCCAGCAACTCTAGGAAAAGGCCTGGCCATTCTGTAACACACCAGCTGCAAACCTGTGGCCTTCTAGATGTTGTTGGGCTGCAGCTCCCACCAGCCCCAGCCAGTGTGGCAAATTGTCAGGAATGATGGGAGTTGGAGTCCTGCAGCCAAAGCATTTTCTGATTTATTGTGGTCATCATCCCTCCTTAGAAATAGTATTCATGTTTCTCCATCCCATTTATCCTCTCAACGAATCTATGAGGCAGGTTAGACTGAAAGAGAGGTAGTGACTTGCTCAAGGTCATCGAAAAAGTAGGTAAAGAGAGGATTTGTACTTGGGTTTCCTGGTCTTAGACTGATACTCCAACTGCAGCGTACTGGCTGTCATGTGCTGTTCTGGAAATGTGGAAGTGTTTTAAAGTTATTGGATTTTAAAAATAAGTTATGTGCAATCTTCCTGTTTTGAGTCCTTTGGCAGCTCCTAATTAATTAGATATGTCGCTTTATTGTGGCTTTCAGTTGAGGAACTTATTCTGCAGATACAGGTTGCCACCACCTGTCAGTTCTGCTATTAGGTATGGCAGGTAGAACATTTATGTGATGGTGGCTATTCAGCAGAGAGCCTGTCATGCAGCGATGTGGGTAGAGCATTTGTTGAGTACTTCTGTACTGTACTGGAATAACCTTCATGGGGAATTTCGCTGCTGAGTTGGTACTCTTTGCTGCTCTTATCCTTGATATTTGGATCAAGCATTTGAAAGTACAGGAGGCATTAAATGTGGCCCATTGCTCAGGCAGAGGTTTATTTGTATTTATCGGGAAAGAGGAATATGGTTTGGAGTACAACAAAAGGCCAAGGTGGAATAAGAAGAAAGCTTCTGATGCAATAGGGCAAAATCCCTGTTGGGATGGAGCTTTTAAAAATATGCATCTTGCAAAACAGTGAAAACTCACCTACTTGAATATGCATAACTGATAACAACAGAATTTACCTGGCTGATCCCTCTTGCTCAGTCCAATTACTGAAAAGACAAGTCATTTTATGCTGCAGTTTTTGTAGTTTGTTCACCAAATGACATAATTTTTTCCCTGGATTTACCGTATTTTTCGCTCTATAGGACGCACCAAATGATAAGGCACACCTAGTTGGGGGGGGGGGAGGAAAACAAGAAAAAAAATATTTTGAATCCCAGAAGCCAGAACAGCAAGAGGGATACCATGTGGCTGTTCTGGCTTCTGGGATAACCGCACCAAGCCTCTTCAGGGCAGCAGGATGAAAGCTCCCCCTGCCCGAAGAGGCTGTGCGCTGCTAAGACAGAAGCCAGGGCAGGCGCGTCGCTGAAGGGGCACTGGACAGTTCTCCCTCTCTGCGCAGCGCCCCTTCAAGCGAAGCTGGAGACCCTTCTGTTTCTCCTCCCGCTTTGCAGGACAGGCGCCTCGCTGCGAAGGAGTCCCTTCTGTTCCTCCTCCGGCTTCCAGGCAGGTGTGTGGCTGAAGGGGTGCTGCGCAGTTCTCCCTCTCTGCGCAGCGGCTCTCCTGCGAAGGAGAGGCACTACGCAGATAGGGAGAGCTGTGCAGCGCACCTTCAGCAAAGCGGGAGGAGGAACAGAAGGGGCTCCGTTCCTTCTCCCGCTTCGCTGAAGGGGCGCTGCGCAGCTCTACCTCTCTGCGCAGCGCCATTTACTCCATAAGACGCACTCACATTTCCCCTTACTTTATAGGAGGAAAAAAGTGCATCCTATGGAGCGAAAAATACGGTAAGTCATTTGAGATATCTAAGGAAGCATTTGAGTATCTTTGTACAAAAATGGACAATGGAGAGCAGGGCTTTCCTTTCATGGCAAAGTGTTTTGTGTTAGAATAGCTAATTTGAAAAAGAACCCCCCTCCCCAAAAAAGTGACTCAAAACAAAACTGCTTTTGGATATGAGCAAGACAAATAGGTTGAGACAACTGAGTAATCAGCAGCAGGGGGAAGCCAATTCACTGCATTTCACTTAGTTTTATCAACTGGTTACAAGGCTACAAGGTGGTAATTCCTTCAAGAAAACTTGATCTTGTATTCTTGCCCCTCATCTTATATGAAGAGGGAAAGAAGCATTTTAATACTTTTCTCTCTTTCTTAATATGTTTTAGCCCCTCATAGACAGGCTATATATCTCACTATGAAACTGCTCAGCATTTTTCATGTTCAGTTGTGACATTTCTAATAGGAGGGACCATAACTCATTGGTAGAGTGCATGCTTTGCATCAATCTCTGACATTTCCAGCTAAGAGCTTTAAAAGGTAAAGAGACCCCTGACCATTAGTCGTGGTCTGACTCTGGGGTTGCGGCGCTCATCTCGCTTTATTGGCCGAGGGAGCCAGCGTACAGCTTCCGGATCATGTGGCCAGCATGACTAAGCCGCTAATTGGAAAGGTCTCCTGCTAGGACCATACAAAGGTACTGCTGGACAGTACTGAGCCAGATGGACAAATAGTCTCAGCTGATACAAGGAAGTTTCCATGCCAATGCTCTGTACTCCTTTTAGGGGAAAAGACTGAGTGGTAGAGCTTTTGCTCTCAAATGGGCCCAGATTTAGTTCCTGTTTACATGCAGGTCTTGGAAAGGGAGAATAAGTAACCTGAAGTGGCTGGGGTAACTCAGCCAGATGGGCGGGGTATAAATAATAAATTATTATTATTATTATTATTATTATTACAATTCACATCAGAGATGCTGGTTTTTGTGAACCCTGGGATCTTGGTACTTCCTGTTCACTAATCTGAATCAGATGTATCCTACTTAAACTTCAGGGGAAATGATTCAAAATATGTTGGGTTTTAGGGATTGGTTTCCTTCTAAGATTCAAGCCCTATTTGGGCATCGTTCCCCATGCAAGTTAGGTACCATTGTGTAAGAACAGGGCTTCATGAGCTAGCCCTTCACCTTTAGACCTGTTCCCTGCTGTCTCCACCCCTCCTGTGCATGCATTAGAGGAGGGTCCCAGTAAGGGATACTGCTCAAAAGGGTACCTAACCACAGGGGAAGCATATATGTTGCCAAGAGGCTTCCTCTTTACAGATGAGTCCCCAACACATGGACAGCATGGAAGTGGGACGAGTAGCATGTACAACAGCCAGAGCATGACCAACAAATATGCCCCAACACTTTCCATGTAGTCTTAATTTCAAGGAGGGAATGTCTCAATAGGGTTTAGCTGACTGTCATAGCCAGAAAGATTTTGTTTGATCTAATCAAATAAGAATCGGCTTCTCACATGGTGATGGTGATAAATGTTTGCCTTGCCTTGAAGAGTAAGACACATCTTAGTGGCTTGACACAAAGACGCAAGGCTAATGCTTCTTTCATTTGATGAAGTGGTCTATAGTCCAGTCCATGAAGGCATATGTAATAATAAATATGTTGATAGTTAGAGTGCCAAAAGACTCTGTTGTTTTTGTTTAAACAGACTTAAAATTTTTCAGCGGAGTAGCTATGTGTTTATGCTGTGATTGATTCTTTTCAAAGTGTTTCTCAGGATGATCTGCAACATAATTAAAAGAATCTTATAAATAAAGCCGGCAGGATAGAAGAGAATAGTAACAATATATACGAGCAAACTGGGGGGGAAACACGGAAGCACAATTAAAATTTGAAGCTGTCAATGCCTGGGTAAATGGAAATGTTTTAATCTGTTACCTAAAACCATTGAGGCAGATACCAGCTAAATGGATATAGGGAAGAATTTCTGCTGATGAGGTGCCATCAACAAAAAATCCTTTTCTGCTGATGAGGTGCCATCAACAAAAAGTCCTTACCCTCAGATGGACTCTCTCAGAGATGATGTCTTAAGATTTTAATAACTGGGCACGTTTTTATGAGAATAGATAGATAACCTGTTTAAGGCATTAGGAAATATGATGGGTTTGTGGTAATTGCTTTTGAATTTTTTTGAATGTCAGTGGCTTATTTGCTTGGAGTTTTTGGATGTGGAGAGCTAAGTGTTTTGCTGTGGCTAGGAAACAGGAAGCACAAATTATTAGACAATTGACCCTATCCTGAAAGAAAGAAAGAAAGAAAGAAATCAAATGCATTAGAAAGGGAGGAAATGTTTCACTGTAAGAACGTTTCAACAGCCCTGAGTAAAACACTGTTTTTTTTATATTTTTAAATAGCATTTATATGATTTGCACCACTTGATGTTTCTTTCATTTCTTTTTCTCAACTTTTCTCTGATGCATGGCTCTGCTTGTTACGTTGAAAGTAAGTACTTGGCAACAACAACAACAAAAACTTGCTTGGTTCTATAGCTGGTTAGCTATGCCCACTTTAGTTCACTCACTAATAAATGTACAGTTTTCAGAGCAGTTATGAATTATTTATTATCTACTGCAATTTAAATGAAAGCATAATGTACACAACCTATATTTACTAACTTTCATTCTTTTTTCATATTTTCCCACAAGTTCTTTGATGTAATATCAACCAGCGAGAAACCTCTGGCAGACCAAGATTGGTATCATGGTGCAATCCCAAGAATAGAAGCTCAAGAGTTATTAAAGCAGCAAGGAGACTTCTTGGTGCGAGAGAGTCATGGCAAGCCTGGTGAATACGTCCTTTCTGTGTTTTCAGATGCGCAACGGAGACACTTCATCATACAATATGCTGATGTAGGTTTGTGGTGATTTTTTTCTATCTTTTCAGTGGCACAGCCTGTGTTTTTCTATTGGTTGTATGGTGTGAAATTTATTTATTTATATTTTAGAAGATTGATAATGCTTCTTAATAACATAAAATATTCATCAAAAATAGCAATAAAATCAACATACTTTAAAAACAAGCAGATATAATAAAAAAGAAACAACATATAGAAAAAATAAACTGTTTTAAAAACAAATGTGTGATAAAATTATGTCTCTGAGTAGACTTTTCTAAGCAAAAGAAGTTTTTAGTAGGTATCAAAAACAGTGCATTTTGTTTTAGATTTTTAAAAAAGTCCTGTATAGAGCACTGTTATTTCCAAGGCTCCTGGAGAGATGTTTATTCGGTGCCCCTTGAGGATGAGAAAGCAGTGTCGGCTGAAATCTGTGTTTTAAAAACACCACCACCCAAACCATTAGAGCTGACTTGTTGGATCAGACCTAAGACCTCTGCCTAGTCCAACATTCAGTTTCCAACTGTAGTCAGCCTTTGTGAAACCTTGTGAGCAGGTAACATCCTTGTGTTCTTGGTCCCCAACCCCCCCCCCCAGCATCTTACATTCGAAAGTACACTGTCTCTGAACAAAATAAGTGGGTAATTACTAGATCTGACAATCCTCATTCAGATAAGAGGGAACTTGAGGCCATGGAGGGGCATGGGCATGGTTTGCTGCAATTTGTACATTATTGTCACTTTCAGGTGACAAAAAGAAGTTCAGAACTGTCTCATGGAGCTGAGGGGATCCTCATATGTCATTTAGTGAAATTTCCTGCTAGCTCACTATTACAGGATGTCTGTGAAGGACAGTACACCATTGTTCTACCACTGAATAGCTCACACTCTTCCTAATGTTTAGCCCAAAGTCTTTTTGTGGTTTAGTTCCTGCCCTCTGGAGCAATAGAAAACAATTTTGCTCCATCTTTGTGACAATGATACATGTTCTCTTTCATTCCCACTCCTCCTTAAAGGAAGGGGAAATGATATAATTAAGTTTGTTTTCTTATCTTGAGGAAAACAAGAGAACACCAAGGATTGATGCGGTGTTTTCTGCACATTCTACGTTATCAAGCAGGTGATCCAAGTATTTTTTAAAGGCAAGGGTGAGCCATGCTTTGGCTGCCCTTAGAGTATGAGTATTGCAGTGATTGTTCCATATCCTTTGACTCGCCCCTTTTCCATTTATGTGTAGGCTTACAGGACTTCAGATAAAGATCATAGTTGCCCTTATGTGGACCCATATTTTCATCACACTTCCGTAAAGTATTGCTGGAATGTTTTCAGCCCTATAAAGTAATTATATGACTCAACTCCTCAGGAGCTGCTAGAAGCCAAGAGAGTGTGTTAAGTTGCTGCAGATAACTGTGCTGCATACTGTCGTGCTGATTACAGAGATTATTTTTAGAGCTAACGTGGGCTGTAATTGTAAACAGGTGTGTTAGAGTTGGAGAAAGACTTGCAAATGCCCTTTTGGGTTGTATTAACAACAAAACAAAACCTTTTCCTGCAAGATGTGGAAATGAATAGTGCTGCTTTAAGTGTTCATAGTTAGGCTTCAGAAATGTTGCATGCAATTTTTTTTGGCTCAGTAGGTATTTTAAAACTGATCAAGTCAAACTGGAGGAGCTGATAACGGCTTGAAAATCTGTATCATATTAAAAAGCATGAGGGGGGCTAAGTATGTTTTCATTTTGAGAATATCGGTGTGGGATATGGCAACTGTTCTCCGTAGTCTAAGGAAACACACTCAAAATCTCATAGTATGCTCCCCTCAGAAGATGGAAAATGAAAGGATGCAACTTTCTGCTATTATCATGCTGGGTTATGGGCAAAGTTGGAATTTTAATCTCCACCACTAATTGTGAGCACAGAACCATGGGGTGGTATTTACTTCAAAAAAAGGGGCCAAGCCAAAGATGGTAGGAGGTCTATGACTGGATATCTCACTATTTAAGAAAAAGTGTAATCGGTTTTTCAGAGCAGCATGTGGTTCTTGCATGGATGGGAGGGATTAAACCACTCCCAACCCCCTGTGCTGTTTTCCTGTTAAAAATCACTTTCCCAAGTTTTTGTTTGCTTTTGAGGGAAGGGACATGGAATAATAATAATAATAATAATAATAACAACAACAACAACAACAACAACAACAACAACAACAACAACAACAACAACAACAACAATAGTAATAGTAATACTAATAATATATTTATACCCCGCCCATCTGGCTGGGCTTCCCCAGCCACTCTGGGCGGCTTCCAGAAAAATATTAAAATACTGTAATACATCAAACATTAAAAGCTTCCTTAAACAGGGCTGCCTTCAGATGCCTTTTAAAAGTCTGGTAGTTGTTGTTCTCTTTGACATCTGATGGGAGGGCATTCCACAGGGAGGCCGCCACTACCGAGAAGGCCCTCTGCCTGGTTCCCTGTAACTTGGCTTCTCGAAGTGTAGGAACCACCAGAAGGCCCTCGGTGCTGGACCTCAGTGTCCGGGTAGAACGATGGGGTGGAGACGCTCTTTCATGGAAATGCTTTGTGGGTATTTAGCCGCATTTAGAGCACAATTTTCATTGGGGAAAATGGAGTAGGGGAAGGGCCCAACTAATTTTATGCAACCTGATCCCTCCAGATGATTTAGACTAACTCCCATCACCCTGACGGTTATCCATGCTAGGAGAAAACTGGATTAAACCTTTCCCTCCTGCAGCACTGCAGTCCCGATCTGAATCAAATGCTATTTAACTTTCATAAAAGTTGTGGAAGACCACATCACAAGTCTCTTGCTGTCGCCACTCATGGTACCTTTGTATAAAGCAATATGCAAAACCTGTCCCTGTTTGAATGAATGGTTGAAAAATGGTATGGAGTATTCTATTTATTTATTTAAAACATTTTGATACAGCTCTTCATTAAAATCCCAGGGGGATTACAAAACATACATTATCAATACATTAAAAAGCAGCCCATTAAAATACAATAAAAACATTAGAAATAGCAACATCCATAGTATCCACACAATATTCTATGACATTGGTATCAATAACCAGCTTGGGTGAACAAGTCTGGAGCTGGAAACTCAGCAGAATTGGTCCCTTCCTTATTTCTAGCAGTGAGATGATGCCACAACAGAAAATGCCCTCCCCAGTTTTTGGTAGATAGACTTCCGCATTTCTGCAGGCTGCAGCAAACGGGGGGGATAATATTCTGATATCTCAAGAATTTGGTCTTTGCCAGAGTAGGATTATAACTGTGTAGTTCTGGGGATATGTCACTAAAAGAAAGCGGTAATATATCACTAACAGAAATGGCTAATTTTCATCTTCCCGTGCCTCGAAAAACTCATGGAAAGTACTGTGATACTAGAGTGTGTCACCGTGATGGTTTTTTGTGCAATCGGTTTGTATGTCTGTGTGCAGAGCAAAGGAGTGAAGCTGCTATTACCAGTGTTCAGCATTAGTCTCAAAGAGTTGCATTAATGAAAGAATTTGGCTGAGCCAGTTCAAAACTGTTAGTAGACCATACTGTTTCAACAACAGTTAAAAGCAATACTTCTTGGTGGGAAACACTACTGAAAGCATATTATGTATAATGATGTACTTTCCTTGTTTGAGGCCTTTTATGCAGTTTTCTTTCATAATTTATATTGTATGCAGAGACTTCTGAAAACAACTGTGAGAGACATCCTCCAAATTTTGATTTTCATTTTTGGTGACAAGAGAAGCCTTCCTATGTGTTTTGATCTTCTAGTTCCCTGTGAAATCTCCAGTGTGTTTCCAGGGATAGCAAACTATTAAATACTTTGCTAGTCCTTTTACCCAGCTGCTTGGGTTGATGAAAAAGATTAAAGCCAAAAATGTCCTCTTTGATTATATACGCAGTTCACTAAACTCCACATGTAGACATTATCCATTGACATCCGGTTGGATAGCACAATACTAGAAGAGATGCATTCCATTTTATTTGGAAACGAGAAAGTTGGTTTTAAAGAACTAATAATTTGGGACCATTATTTCTTGCTCCATTTGGTAGTTTTTGACTATTGAACATCATTTAACAATGACGTTGCTTTCCATTCATAAGGGATTATATTTCAGGTTATTCAAATACGAAGGATCTTAATAAGTTACCTTTTATATAGTTTCTACTAATCTTTGTTACAGAAAATATATTTACATGGGCCCAGTTTTAAACATTTCTTGGTTTGCTGAACCATAGTTTAGTAAGTTGAAAATCAGCTTTCTCATATGAATATGGCACTTTAAGATCCTGCTTGGTAAATTGACATTAAACCATAGTTCCTTCTTTTAGAGAATGTACAGGGAAGGGATGACCGGAAAAGTATATTGTCTTGATGCTCACTTTCAGCTGCTAAATTATGGTTTAGTAAGCTAGGATATGCGTATTCAAACTGGGCAAATGTAAATATTGTCTCATCTTTTAAACTATAATCGATTTACAATTTGGCTTCAATTATCAGCCACTGTAGGTATTTGTCTTAAAATAGAGCAGAAGTATGTAAATATAACTAAGTTTATTTAGTGAAAATAACTCTCCTTTATTCATATTCTTATTTTGACACCAGTAGAACTGAAATTTAGTTTAACCCCTGTTACACCGTACTTTTGTAATTCAGAAATTACACATGTTCAACTTCATGGGTCTGAACCCTTTACTCTGTTTCCGAGCACCTTGAAATACCATCCACCTAACAACAATGGAAAAGGCAGACATTTCCTTATCCCTTGTAAAAGTTAGTTCTGTTAAAATTTTGTATTTCCTCTTCATTTCTTTTTGTTATAGAATCAGTATCGATTTGAAGGGACGGGGTTTTCAACTATTCCTCAGCTTATAGAACATCATTACACAACGAAACAGGTGATTACAAAGAAATCAGGTGTCGTTCTGCTGAATCCTGTTGTTAAGGTATGTGTATAAAATTATTTTAATAATAAATATGATTCAATTTTGTATGGTGTTTTTTGCACTTTCCTCCCAAGTTTCCTGCAATTCTCAATATGACATCTCAGTGTTTTATGGTAGGTGAATTTCACTCCCAGTAGGTTTAATAGATAACTAATTCATTACTTTCTGTAATACTGCAGTATCTTAAAACTTGTGTTCATCTGAATAAATCACATTGCAGTTCCGATTTCAATTAGCATTTCAGTCTCAGCATTCTGAAAACATGAGTAGATGGTTAAGTTTGCTCCATCAAATGTGACTACATATTGTTAGGCAAAATCCTTTAAAAAATCCACACTTTTAAAATGTAGTACACAAACAAAACAATTACGGCCTCATAAGTAGGAGTGGACCATGGTAGGAAAAGTCCATAGAAGTGTGATCTAATCCACATGCCTACTTTCCAATCTGAGTTTCTTATTTTCTTACTCATTTTGCAAAATTTAAATTCCACTTGATTGTAAGAAAACGTCTAAGCTGTTTACAAAAATAAAAAACAAAACATTAAAATGATTGGTAAAACAGTTATTCAAAATATTCCAAACGATTATTAAAGCCAATGGTCACTAAAATGAAATAAAGCACATCAAACTTCTACATATCAGGATGAGCTTGCATAAAGAAAGATGTTTTAAACAGCCACTGAAAAGAGTACAGTTGAGGCACCTGCCTGATGTCAGTAGCCGTGTTTGAAACTCCAATTGTTCTAGGCTCATTTTGCGACAGGGAATTTCATTAGCGTGAACAGTTTCTGAGCTCTGGGCGCAGTATTGCACCTAAGATTTCAGATTAAAACTGCAGGGTGGAAGGAAAGGAGGACCTTTTTCTGCCTCCCCACTTCCAGCTACTCTGAAGACTGGAGGAGAGACCCTCTGAGGAATATTAAGGGGGGGGGTGAAGGAGGGAATGACTAGACCATGCGAAAAATGAACATAACATTTTAGCTGCAGTTCATTCGTTTTCAGCTTTGTATTCTTGTTATAAGAAAGTGCTCCTAGACATTGTGTTGTTGCACCCATAACCATTTAACCTGCCATTTAGCTCCTAGCTTTCATATCTTAGTTTCTGACACTGGTCAGTAGGTAGGGAGTTTCAATGTGTCAGTGTTGCCACACTAAAATAGCAGTTTCTTACAGGTGCGGAGTGAATATTACAAGTCACCTGTATCAGTATCAGTTTCACAGATTGAAGCAGTCAAGTGGGGTAAGGGGATCCCGCAAGCAAACTGGTCCCAAGCTGATAAGGATTTTATATACCGTACTGATAGTAACACCTTGAGCTTGGCCTGCTGGCAAATGGGCAACCGGTGTCGCTCTAAGCAGAGTTGTTACATGCAGACAGAGCCTCACTCCTGCCGGCAACTCTGCTACAGCATTCTGCACTAACCACTGATTTCAGATTGAGCTCAAGAGAAGCTGCACACAGAGTGCATCGCAACAATCCAGCTTTAAGTCGTCAGTACCTGAACTGCTGTGGTCAGGCCTTCCTGATACAAGGACCGTTGTAGCTGTCACATCAGTTGTAGCTTGATACGTTGGATACAGACTGTGTAGGTTCCCACCCTTTGCCATACCTAATGTATACAGGTGCCTAATTTTATTTCATTTCATTTTAGAAAAGCTTCTCTCCAATAGCCATATACTCCTTCTGTTCACATCATTATAACTATTTTAATTGACTTTAGTAGAGAAGGTTTTAAAAGGACAGACAGACCTTTGGACTCTTCAACAATTTATGAGCAAGTGGCTTGAATCTTGGGAAATACTGGGGTTATTTCATGAAGAATTGTTTTATGAAACCCATATTTTTGATCTGATATACAAGCTCAGCACAGTTTGCTGGCAGCACTGCAGTGCATGTTTATTTTACTTCTCTCTATATATATACCCAAATGTACATTTCAAAACAACAGTGATGCTTGGGTATTATAACCAATTCTAAAAACAAAAACGCCCCCAAAACAATTTAAAAATTAAAAGACACGAATACAGCACCCTAAAAACCAGCATAAAGTTGTAAGAACAAAAGAGCTGGCTGTATCAGGCCAGTGGCCCATATAGTCTAGCATCCCATTGTCACAGTGGTCAACCAGATGTGTTACCCAGCAAATAAATAAAAGTGTTTACTTTTGTTTATTCGTTAGAAAAATAAAATGTGGTATAATATGAAGACGTACAAAGCCAGTCTAATTTTCAATCCTTATACAAAAGCTACCACATAAATATTCATAGAGATATTGTCAATGTTCCTGATGATGATGCAGATAATTAAACCCCCAAAATAGAAAATGTGAAAAATAACCATATATTATCAAGGTACCAGTAAGACAGTGTAAGGAAAATAATACATATAATGAAACTTAGTGTCCTTAGAGGGATTGTTTTATTTATTTCTTATATAGCAGGAAATTATATAAGCAATAAATTACATCCTCTAACATTATATAAGTGAAAATAGAGCGTAAGGTTGGAGATTATATTGAATAATCTAAATATTTATAAAAGGGTTCCACTATTCCACAATGTTCACTCTTGTCCTGCATAAAAAGTAAGCCAATTTTCAAAAGCTGTCTCCCATATTTTGCAACACCATTGCAATAAAATAATGTTTAGCTTGGTAGGCTAGAAGACTGCTGATAAAAAAAGTGAGATGGTGGAAAATCATAAAGAGGGGCAACGGGTTTCTCTCTAGGAGAAGATATTCCAAAGCTTGCACATGAAACTTCATGGGATTCCACTCCAGATGCTGCACAGGGAAACTTTTAACTCATGTCTGCATTCATATGCACCTTCGTTGCTGGCTCTCTCTCTCACCTAATTTTCCAGTACAGTATATCAAATTTAGCTTGTCTGCTTCCATACCACACATATCACATTATTCCTGAAAGCTGAATGGAGTAAAGGCACTGTTTATGCTGATTCCTACAGACTGAAGCTTGCACTCTCTGGTGGTCCTCTGCAGAACAGCTGATAAAGTGAAATGAACCTGCGCGCATATCGGGGGGGGGAGCAGGGAAGCAACTCTAATAGGTTTTCTTCAGATTTTTTTCCATTGCCCTCTCTGGTTAGATGTCCATACTAACTGAAGCTTAATCTGTACAAGATAGAGGTGTCAGGAGAAAGTCTGACCAGGAAAAAGGGATATGGCTTGGCTTGAATGAGGTTGCATTCTTCTTGAAGGCTTTGGTTTGCAGTCTCGGTGCAGTCCAGGATTTGACCTTAACCTTGTGTTGGTGCTGCGCTGGAGTACTTTTGTACTGTCTTCGGTCTTAGAGATGTCGGATTGACTGTGGTGACGCATGCATTAGTTAACATTCCATTTGGACTTTTGAGACACACTTTTTGTAGGGTTGCTTCAGCTGGTTTAGGATGTTGCAAGGGGCAAGTGACCGCCATGTTTTAACAGCTTCACTGGCTGCTGATCGCCTTCTGAGCACAAATCGAAGCGCTGATTGTTATTTACAAAGCCCTCTGGACTTGGGATCAGGTTTCCTGAAAAACTGCATTCTTCCCATATGAGCCAGCCTCTCCATTCTTGACACTTTACTTTTCAGTATTTTTATTACCACCAAAGTACTGACCTAAAGCATCAGTTTACAGGTTGGGTGTATACGTATGTGTCACTAGCACCCAGCAAAGAGATTTGTCCAAACTGTTGCTTTCCATATAAAAGGAAGTATTTTGGTGTATTATAATTTTGGGAGTTATAGGAACAGGACTACCCAAACTGTACAGAAATTTATTCATGTATGTGACTACAGTGGCAAGAATGTTACTTGCCCAAAAATGGAAAGAAGAAGTAGTCCCAGCAAAAGAAGAATGGATACAAAAACTTCTGTAACTTTTTCCAGTTGTAATATTTATTTGTTTTAATTGTATCCTGCCTTACAATCTCAACAGGAATAACCAAGCTACTACATTGTGGCCATGCTGTTATGGGACATTAAAGAATTTTCATACATATTTGCTTTGGGGAGAAGGTTGCTGCATATGCCATATAGAACAGGGAAGATTATTTCTGTGTTAACATACTGTTTGAAATTCATGTGAATTTGCCAGCGACCTTCTTCATTTTTATCTATAGAGCTATAAAGCAGTAACTGGCATTTAAATCTCAGTGGAGGTTTTTAAACAGAGGGCGGATTGCCATATGTCAGGGATTCTTTAGTTGTGATTTCTGCATTGCAGGGGGGTTGGACTAGATGACCCTTGGGTACATTACAATTCTACAGTTCTATTCTTCTTCTTTTTATGCATATAATAAACCATTTGGTAAGTGAAAGTCAAACAGGAGCATCAGAAATAATGCTATTTAGCAAGCAAACCAAAAACCTATTGCTTAATTAGTTTGACCTTCTCTTACTTTTCTACCCTTTGCAGCTAACTTTTATAATTATGCCCCAAATAACAGTCTTACAATATGCTCTGCCTAGTCCAAATCTGCAGGGACAAGGACATTTAACAAGATGCACAAGTATTTTTTTATTTGTAGTGTTCGGAGGCAACATTACTTGCTTAATTTGTTACTGGTGCAACCATTTAGCCCCAGAGTGTATATGCTAATAGTTTTAAATAATAAAAAGTCTGTTTCAGCACAACTGGTGTTTGGGCTTTCTAATTTGACCTTAAAGTGCTGGTGATATTAAATTATCCTGGATACTTTTAAAAAGTTAATATCAATGTACCTTTATACATTTCAAAATAAATTTAGATATCTTCATCTTTAATGTTCACAAAACTAAGATCTAGGAAAAGAAATCAGATTCATGGAATAGTTTTTCAATTAGATTAACATACACATTATTTTTGGTAGCAGTACCAAACATTTTTTATTTTGAAATTTGTTGACGACATCAAAATGTCTGTGGAATATCTTGTTTACATTACAGGAGTGAGATTTATAGGAGGTTGGGAAATTGACAGAAAGTACCAACTTGTTTTTTGACCAAACTGCGGGAGGTA